GTTATTGTTAATTGTTATTGGTTTATTGTAAGTGGCTATTGTTCGAGACGAACAATACTAAGGAGGGGGCAGTGTTGCGTCAGCGAGGTCACGTGACTAGTATCACGCCACCTCCTTCTAGAAATATCCTGTTCCTTCATGAATGCTCTAGCGTTTACTAGATGTGTGTTAGTCTTGTATATATAAGACGGTCACAACGTGACGGGACAGTGAATGAGTAATTGAATGTATGCTGACAGAGAGAATATTGTTAGGCACGTGAGTCGTTCGTTGAGAATTATAGTATTTGTTATAGAGCGACTGTTGAAATTAAGTGTATCGTAAAGTTGTATTCAGAAAGAATAAACCAGTTTTATTTAAGAAAGGACTTGTGTCGCTAAAGTTTCGTCGGAACGAATTTACGGAAAATTAACGAACGAACGGAGACGTAACAATATATTTTAATCTTTGAATCAGTCTAATATTTCATCCTTTTAATTTTACACAGCTAAACAAAAAATAATTTGGCATATATTCGATCAGTTTGACATCCAACCAACAAATGAATAGCTTAAGCAAAATTAAGGCTATTTTTTAAACTTTTTCACACAGTTAAATTCAAGTAAAAATTTTGAATGAATTCAAATAGATAGAGCAATAGATAGATAATGTGATATAACATATATACAAGAAAATAAACTTATTGAGTAATTGGAAATTTTTGACATTTTGTTATTCGGCTGGTTCATGCAACGTTAATATAATTTGAAAATATAAATTTCGGTACAGCAGAAAGTGTGTGGTTGACCAAATGTTGTACATTCTTCTTTATTTTCACTCTTGATTTATTATAATTTTCATTGTGATAACGCATCTTAGACAAAAACTGAGTTGAGCTTACATGAACACGAATTAGCCAAATGAAAAACATCTGTGAACACTGAATGGCTTATTTTATATACCTAAATATATAAGCAATATTCACCATAGCTAATTGCTTAAAAATTGTTAACATTACATTCATTTGTACAATCGTAGTAGATAAACAAGATGAAAATTGTTGGATTGCTTCTAAGCACAAAGATACACAATGGACTATCTGTGTATTACCCACTGCCGGTATCTAAATCCTATTTTTCAGCCTTATAAAGCCTCAGACTTACCACTGAGCAACCGGCAGGGGAGGGAGGTTGTGATATAAATAAAAAACAAACAGATACTTTGTCTAAAATAATGTTTAAACTTGTTCCATGATCCGTTTGGAAAACGTTACAGAAATAATTTTGTTCACATATATTCAAATCATAATATTTGGTTTAAAATTTGTATTAAACTTAAAGGCAACTTGATGGGTTATCAATTTCATTTTCCTCGACAAATAAATTTTAAAAAATGTAAAGCAAAGCAAAAACTGAGTAAGGCGCTATCACCTAAATTCTAAGCGGCACTCTTATCTTGAATTTCACGTGACGGATAGCGAATAAGGTATTCTGTCACATGAGGCATCGTATATGTAAACCGAAGATGAATCGTAAGATATGTTT